ACCATAAGAAATTCCAGCCTCAGATTACATATTACAAAAAAATAGGACACCAATAGATAAAGATAATATTTCCAAATGATTTATGATGTTAACAGAGTCTATATCCTAATAGACTACTATATAGATTAAATTAATGATAAATACGACTGTATAGCTTGTGTAAGTGATATTGTTAATAAAAGATTCTCTTCAATGAACAATCTTTATCCTTTCATCAAGTAATGGTTTATTAACACGTACTATTCTGTACATTGTACTATGTCCGGACGAGAATAAATAAAAGGTTACCGTTAGGAGTTACGCATGAACTAATAATATACGAATATTCTTATCATATGACTATTAAGTAACTATATATATATATATATATATATATATATATATATATATATATATATATATATATTCTTTTCATTTGACTGATTGCTTATTGTTATATGATTTACTATTCACAAGTTATTCTCAGTCTGTTAGTCACAGTTCCTCACAATCACAGCCTCTTGTTCTTGTGCAAATGTTATTTTCTATTTCCTAGTGTGATTTGAAACATATGATTCGTATCGCGGAGGCTAAGATTGGCATTCTAGACCTAACAGGTAGGGCTAGGTGGAAAAAGGACCAGTCGGAACTCTAGGCTACCCGTACTGGTGTATGCGTCATTAGTTTGGGCGTATAAGTCAGCGTATTTAAATTGGCAATAGTATTTCGTGATAATTCTACAGCTAAGGACATGACAAAAGGAAATAAAGATTTCTGATAAAATACAACAAAGCGTTATGATAAGCGTTAATGTATGTGACAAACTAGTGATGTTTTCCCTTAAAAAGATGTATGTAAGGGTAAGTAAATCATAAGTTGAGACTTAAAGATAACACACACAGAAAATTCACTAGTTAATTAGTTATTAGAGATTTCTTTCAAATAATTATCCATTTTGGACGCAACACCTGTTGAGAAACCATCACCAAGGTTTTTCCGCCTGTTTATCCACATTTCCTGCTAGTATTGCCTCAAACATTTCGAGAAAAATACTGTCGTACGTATATGAGTCCATAATTATGTCTTTTGTCAGCAGTGTCTGTGAACGAGTATAATAACAAACTTAGGATTACTAGTAAACAGAAGCATATATCAGTGAAAGTCCTTTTTAGTGTTCCAAAATAATGTTTATCAAATATTGTTCACATACATTTTAACTAAAGTTTAACAAACTTAGACTTTCAGCAACTATTGAGAAAATGTAAAAATGTTATTTTTAATATTAATCCTCAGCATATTAAAAAAAACAGATGAATTTCCATCGATGATAGGTTAGAAAACTTTGATCTCCCTGTTTTAGAGCAAGCGGACTAAAAATTCCTTAGATTTAGAGTTTGTGAAATTAAAAATAGATATTTTATTGAAATTCGATGCTGTCTGAATCTTATCAAGTCCTCAAGGTAGCAACAGATCCAGTAATATTTTGGTTACACATATAAAAGCCCGACAGAGATCTTACCATAAGCAATTATCAGTCAGTCAGTAACAACGTGGAACTTCGTACGTGCGTACACACATCAGTTCGAGTTGCCATACCACACATCAGCACAGAGATGCAGTGGTCGATTCAAATCCCGTTGTGGTACCGGTAGTAAGAGTATAGGCAGTAATCGGAAAGATTAGGGTTTGAAGATGTTATTTAAAGAGTATAATCCAGTGAAATAAATCCGGAAAGAGGAAAAAGAAAGGGACATAGGAATTCAGAAGATTAGAATGTGGGAGGACACAAAGAGTGGATGCACCTGCGCCATTGCAAACGATTTTGAGCCATGTCATTCAGGGTCTCTAACCATCGGTCGCTATCATCTCGCGATCCCTAACCAGGTAGTCTACACCTACTAACATGGCTCAGTCCACTTTTCAGTGACTTCATGGACTTGTGCCATGTTTTGGTCTGGCCGCCGCTAGCTTTCTTCCAACCTACTCCTACACCATAAAACATCGCACGTAGAGGAAGTCGGTGGTTGGGCATACGTAACACGTGTTCCAGCCATCTCAACTGATGAAGTTTCACTACTTCGTCAATTGATTTGTCATCCTTATCTAGTACCCGTTTCCTAACAGCTGAGTTCCTTAATCAGTGGTCCCAGGATATACAAGCAATGTTTCAAAGACATGTATGATCAAATACTAGTAACCTACGAATATCTTCTACTCTTACCGGCCATGTCTCACCGCCATAAAGTAGGATGGAACGAACTGCTGCGCAGTAAACACGTACTTTGGTTGATAGACGGATATCTCGCCTATGCCATAAATGACGCAAGTTGGTAAAAGCTATTCCAGCCTTCTGTATTCGCGCTGAGACTTCGTCACACACCAGACCACAAGGGCTGATGAAACTTCTCAGATAAGTGAAGCGGCCAACACGCTAATTTTTGAGATTGATAAAGTGCCTAAATATCCATACCCTAGATTATTTTGACATCTTAATAAAATCCTTTTGAGGTCTACCAACGGTGAATAAAAAACCCCATCACTCTAAAGAGTCAGTTTTATACTACTGGTATTAATTTAGTAGCATAAATTGTATGAACTAAAATAGATTGACGAGCTTTCATAGAAGACATGTCTAAAATGTACAATTTTCCAATTGTTAGTCGTTCATCACCAGATACCAGTATTTCATGAAAATCATCCTCATGCAAATGATTCTCGGAACATCGGAATACAACACCATCCTTAATAGAAGTAAATTTAAAGAACTCTAAAGCTAACTGGAGCATTAAGTTCACGAAAGTCCAAAGTGCGAGCGCAGTTATAAAGTACGACGAGATAAAGTAATGAACAGCTACTCGATGTTACTAAGTGATCTCACTGACATAGAGTAATTCATAAATTGAAAACTGTTTTATAAAATTCCCATATTTATTCATAATCTATACCAACACACAGTATAAAAGGTATAAATGAAAAAGCTTTATACTTAGTTTTTCATGATTAATTAGGATACCGAGTGTTGCTTTGAAATAAATACCATGGTTCATGCACTCTTGCTAAGATCTTTTAAGAATCATAGCATTTCCTCTGGTGTCGGTAAAAGTTGAATTTATTTCATGTTGGCTCCACAGTTTTAAGGAATTTCATAAGCGTTAAAATTTCGTAATTAGGAAGGATATCGGATATTCATTAGATTCAGACCATATATCTCGAAAATAACTAACTCTGATAAATTGATTATTTTGTGTTCACATTTGCTGCACTAGTTATGGTAAATTTAATTTGCCTTCGTAATACATAAAGTTCATTTCCCAAAGTATCAATCATTAGAATAATTAATTTTGAGCAATCCTTTATGAGGCAAACCCTAACTTGGAATCCTGAAGAGAAACGGAAAAGAGGAAGGCCAAAGAACACATTAAGTCGAGAAATAGAAGCAAATATGGAAAGGATTGCTCAAGACAGGGTTGAATGGAGAGTGATGGTGGGGGCTTATGCTCCTCTATGAGGAGTAACAGGCATAAGTAAGTTTGTGAGGTACTCGGGCTCTAAATGGTCTCCACAATATAACCCAAAAACAAAAATGTTTCATTTTTACATAACTTATTTTATAAATACATCAACAACAGTCAATGAAGAATGACAAATATTCATTGAATTCCCTGGCCAAGATAAATTCCGTCCAGTTAAAATTACATTTTATTTAAGAACACTACTAGGGACTGTATCATGACTATAAATGCCTTCCTTCCTCATTTATGTCTGGTAATGTCTGCAGCCACTAAATTGCATGATCCTTAAGACCCTAATCACAAAATCTCAATGAGTCGGGACAGGTTAATCCAACCAATACGATTTGCTACTTGGACACGACAATCGGTGGGTCTAATTTATTTAAAACAATTGGTTGATAGTGATGAATTTTTGACCACCAGATGAGTTATATGAACGCGTGATCAGAATCCTGACAGGGAGTTAGGAGTGTGAAAGATCTTTACTTACAAGCACCATCGATAACTAATAGCGATATGATCTATTTGAGTTTAAGAAATAGAACACCAAGTAACATGCCATCGACAGCTGTCTACGAATTTGGCGTTTTTTGAAAATATTTTAGCATTTCCGCAACTCTATACAAGGTTATTTCTAGCATTTAATCTACCACAGAAAAAATCGATCGAAACAGTTTTCTCTGTTCTCATTTTATCACGTATATTTGCGTCTTTAGCTAGTCCCATGCAATCTGTTCAGCGCGTTTTGTTAAAGCTATCGAATTCATGGAAGAACACTTCTTTAGTTGGATTTTAGTGCAATATGAGAAGACATATGTATACCACTGTATTCTTTGCCAATTACTTTTTATTTTAAATGAACTTGATAGCCCAGAATCATATGAAACTTTTCTGAGGACCCTTTCAATTAGTGTTGCTTTGTCTGTAGTGCTTAGTGCAGCACCAATCCAACTAGGTTGGACATAAATTACAATGAGAAATACGTTGTTAGTACTTTTCAAATTTCTACCATTCTTCTGATTAAAGCGAGACCTTTGAGTGATATATCTTGTCCATTCGATATTACAACTTTGTCAAGTGAAAATATGATCCATAAATATTACGTTAATATCAAGATTCTTGCACCGAAAAACATCATCCATAGAATTCTTTTAAGATGCTGGAACGTCTTCCCCTAGATACGCCACAATAAACAGTATTGTTAATAATGATCAATCACATCGTTTTCAACAAATATTTAACTGCTGTTTATACGACAAAAACCTAACAAGAGAGCACAATAGAACAAGCCTTTATATCGGTTACACAAGTAGACATCATCCCAAAATAATTAATCATAGTAAGATATACTATAGGAACACACTAAATCGAAAATAATATATGTCAAACGATTTACTACTAATCCGATAGATAACAAGCTTAGTGATTCAATAGGTTTGCACTAACTAGTGTGAGAATTTACAGTATAATAATAATAATAATAATAATAATAATAATAATAATAATAATGCTTTCAATAAATGATATATTTATCTAACTGTTGATCACGGAAAACACAAATTACGAAAAACTAAAAAACGAACGAGAAAAATGAGCAAATATCGAGTTATAAAGAACAAAACCTTGAAACAATTAGGTCAGTTTCCTAGAAAAGTGCATAGATTGCAAAAAGACAAGAGTATGTTAGAAAATAATTGCGACACTGTAGTTTTGCACCTCTAATTTCGAACATGTTTGGCATATATACTGTATCTTCTTGTCCAGAACATGATCGGTAAAAGTAACACATAAATGAACAACTAGAGATCTCATTAGAAATCATAATGAATTTTTCAAGGTATTTTTCATAGTCATGTACATAAAACATAGAATATAAACGATTAATTTCGACAAAAAATGTTGATGAAAGTACAAAATATAATGTCTGATCTATTTAAAACGAGATTATAAAACACAACGTGATAAAAAGAATCATTCGCTAATAGAACTAGTGCTATCATTTCGGTTTTGGCACTCGGAAAGGCGTCTATAAGATGAAGAGTAACTAAATCGTTGAATCAGTGAATAACAACACAAGATATTTTGATTCCTACTAAGAATGGGACGACTGTACAGTATTAAGCCTGTGAAACACGGAATTAAAGAAAGGCCAGAATTTACAGCTGTAAAAATTCTTGTTACGGTATGTGAGTTGGAAATCTAAAAATTAAATGGAAGAGGAAAAAGTTTCGAAGTGATTAATTTCAGGAGTTTGGTTACATAAAAGTTTTCTTAGAAATCTTGAGTTCATATAAGCGGAAGAACTACTGAAACGTATGGTTTTTGAGTAACAGAGACTGGGTGATTACGGGAACCCAGTCTGTGATTATTGTAACATGAATTCAAATATCACTGCAATTATTTTCATCTGACAATTCGGGTAGTATACCTATCTTTTGTGCAATAAATGTAGCACGAAGTAAAATACGTGAAGCTATGCTAAATGAGTTTAGTTAAACAATCGACATGTTTTTAGTTGATGAATGTTAGCCACTAAATTTTGACCGTCCGTATCAATCGTAATATGGTTAGTGATTGATCTAGCAACCCTAAATTTAGTCATGGATCTTGTTCAGAATGAAATAATTATTTACTGGCCAAAGATTTCCAGTGGTTACTCGATGAACATCATTTGGTCGTGAAAAACTACTTTTTCAAATGTTATGCTTTCATGATGAATCATTGCTAATAATATACACTTCAATAGTTAGCTATCGGATCAAAAAGATTAGATACGATAAAGCATTTTTTAAACCCGATAATTCAGAAAATATCACTTGAGTCATGAATAAGTTGATATAGGTTTTCTACAGTTTTATGGAACGGGTAGACGTTGAAAACTTGCATTCGTGAAACACTAACCACAAGTTCTGAACGTCTCGGTCATACATCATAGAAAAACTCTTCATCTAAGATAAGGTACAAAATGAAACAGGTCTATATTGTGTGGGGTATTGTAATGCAAAGAAAACGATAATATTGACATGCATATATCCTATATACATTTTTAAATAATTCGTGACTACTTAAGTTCTTGTATAATTCTACTCAATTAAGCCACTAATTAGTTTTAATGTATCTCGTGTTATAACTACAATTATCGTGTCGAGGTACATTTCTTTACGTGACACGATTGAGATATTAACATTACTCAATATCTAAAACTGCCAATCTAAGTTTTGTAGCCCATACTGTGAACTAGGAAGTCTACTGGACAGTAAACAATATCATAATACCTAAGCCTTTGTGATAATCTAACTCTACAATCACAGCTACGATGTAGCAGGATAACCACTAAGCAGGTCCATGTATACGGAAAAAATAATGACATTGAAACAAATAACCTACCTTATTTGATGACGGATCTGGTGAGAAATTTCCATAGGATATAGCAGCTATTAAACAACACCAATAAACAACGTTTAACAACAGTATCAACCATAATGATATGTAAAATCTCCGTAGCTGAAACCAAAATCAGACTAAAATGTCAGTTTTTATCTGGAAAATGTTGAGCAAATATTCCGAAACCGACTAAACAACTACCTCTGCTCAGAATTATAGTCAGGTGAAATTAAGCTAACACCTTACACCGACACTCAATATCGGTATGTTGTTTTGGAATATTTCGTTCTACCGAAACCTGCCAGAAGGCGGAAATACATGGTAGATGTCAAGTGGAGTGGATCGAAATAAACAGCAGTGACATGCTTGGCGAATCTTCATTTAGCTTCAATTTGTGAACATTTCATTAACCAATTGCCATTTATTGTCCATTTAACTCCTTCATGTCATTTGTCCTGATGTTGATCTTGAGTCTTTAGGCTATGGTAATATTGTGCCTCCAGTTAAAATTTTCAGCTTGTCTAACAAAAAATAAAGTGGATTTTTGTACCCGTCTTTGATTACAGGACGATCAAACGACGTTGATCTGAGTTACAATAATAACTATATATATATATATATATATATATATATATATATATATATATATATATATATATATATATATATATATGCTAGAACAGGTCAGAGGTCAAAAGGAATTAATTCGGGTTGGGTGGTGTAATAATGCAATTGAATAATCATAAGATAGGTTACGTAATAATAATTAAATAGAATATGAAAAGTTAAGATAATTTAGGAGGATCAGGTGGAAATGCGTAAATAATAATGTGGTTTAAGAATTATGTAATAGAGGAGGAATATAAATATTTTGAAGTAAATAAAAATATAATAATAATAATAATAAAGGGTTACCAGGGTAGTGATAAGCTAATTAACGTCTCTTTTTGAATGCATAAGTCAGGTTTAAGTTTTTTGATCTGAATAAAATATATGTCGAACTTGAATTTTTCTTCCCGTACTATGTCCTCATATGCAATCCTTCTTTTATATATTACCAACACTGAATCAAACACTTCTATGAATTCGGTGTTCATCTTGTTGTGCTAATGAGGCATGGTAACTTGGACCGATGCACATATGTGCCTGGTCGTACGTTGTAAATGACTGACCTAATTGAATTCGTATATATATTTTTTCGAAACATCCCACTAACGTAGATAATGCAAAGTCGAATACGGAAGTAATTCAAAACCGTATACTTCAAACAGTTGATAATGCAGGAGAAATAGCCAAATGACTTTTATTAAACGTGGCTGAATATTTATAATCAGACAGAAAAAGACAGGCTGAAGGCATGTGACGAGTGGAGTAGTTGATGAACAAACACACGCAGGCAAACAAATTAAAAGGCGCAAGAATATCAGGGGATACTTGACAAGGGTAAATATATGTGTACACAACTACTGAAAAATACTGATTTATCTGTCTAGGAGTTAGAGTAAATCATGTAGGAGTCCGATAACAGAATTTGCTACAAAAGTAATCACTGTACTTTAATTAGATTTTATCTTAGGATATTTAGTTGAACCAACTGCTTTACCAGCTGGTTACATGAGGTCCAATTTATCTTCCTGAAAGAATATTAAACATAAGTTTACGAATGTAAATCGTAAAAGGTCTAACGAAATCAGCCTGATTATAACATGTAACAATATGTTGACAAGTTTTAACTTGGAAACTAGATAATACTCACAGAAGTGTAACGCAAGCTAATAATTGTGCGTAAGGCCATCGCTCCAGTGGATAAGACCTACAAATTATTTTTTGAGATAGAATACTTACCAGCACGCCGGTATAAATAGGAAGTCCATAACCACCAGCTAAGCTAAATTCAACAGGATAATTATTGGAATCATTTGGAGATAACGATGGGATTAGAACACTATCCAATAGTCCTGTGATTGTCAGATATAAGTGCAAACTACCTAGGAATGCACTAGCAAGGCCGAAAAAAGCAAAACTAAATCCTAATATTTGCAGTCCATTCATATACTTAACCAAAACGCGTTCTCCAGATGGGAGGAGTAAGAAACAGTCTCCACGATGTGAGGTTCTTACCTCCTGAACACCGCAATTATCCTGTAGACTCATTTCATCTGGAAAAGCAGCTGAGTACCGATGAGCTTGAAAAAACGCTACAAGCAAGAGCCAAAGTCTACAATGTATCATGAATCGAAATTAGTTAGCCATTTGTTTTCTAGGATGTAATTTGTTAATCGGAGACGATTCTTGATCGGAAAAGTACATATGTTTTTATGCTACCAGGATCTAAAAGATAAAAACAGCGTAGATCACCAACTTAGATTATCCATGTCGAAATTGTAGCGGTAAATAAATCCCCAAAATAAATAGCTCTAAGTTTTCGACATTGGATGCTGACCATATGTTTTAGTGGACTCATCTAGCTGAAGGCGCTCGGTCATGCATCAGCACCAGATCACGTGTGATAACGCTGTGCTCAACATCAACCGCAATCGCTAGCCAGATTAGATCAGAGAATTCCGATATATTGGTCATCGCCAAACATACTCTTCCGATCTCCTCGACTCTGTCTTTTGATTTCTCTGGGTGGGAACGAAATATATTAGAAGGTGTTACTGGTAAAAGCGTTGTCAAACACTGAATACCTGTGACATCATTAAAATGATTGGAGGCCTACTCGAGTTAGACGTGATTGGTGTGACAAACTAACTTAGTGACATTTCGCTGGCCCTAAAACAGTTAATGGTGAGAGTACAAATGGTCTGAAGAAGCTTTCCCATGACGGGCTTCCATATCTAGCAGCGGTAGATCACCGACACTTCCAGGTAGAAACATAGGTATATTTATTGGTGTAAAGAAAGATATTGGCAAAATACAATTAGATGCTTCAAAGTCATCGCTCGGTATGCTTGAATATATATATATCGTCAGATGCTGTCCTGAGTCCTTAAAAATATGACAAGTTTTCTCCTAGTGAATTCACGAGAGGTCACCCGACCTACCTCAGTCAGAAGCAAACTCTAGAATTTGACAACTCGTAAAGTGTAGAAATACTTACAGTCCATCCTGCTTTGCTGTGTCTATAACTTCTGGGTGTTAATCCTAATGTTTGTTTTGGAAATGAGCCTAAGCGAGTACTTAAAAGGGTATCCGTGAGTGTTTACGGTGCCAGGAGGCACTAGAAGGTCATCTCTCAGGCTTCTATACTCGAATTGGTCTGAATTTGTGACCCGGACTGGTTTCGTGGCTCGCCCGTTTAGCGAGGAAGGGAACATCATATTTACATACTCTAAATGGAGCCGAATAAAATTAACAAAAATCAAGCGGAAATCTCTACCGTCACATTGGCCAGCAACGCGCCTCAACGCTACCAGTGCGAGATCGTCTGAAAAGCATTTCAGTCACGGTCAGGTCGTAGAGTACCAACACTCCTAGATTTTTATCAACTTATCGTACCACTAGAGAGGAGTTACCTAAGTTGTATACGTAGTGTACAACATGTCTCAGATAGACTACTTTACACTTCGAAGTGTTGAAAGTGAGTCCGTTTTTTATCCGCCCAACTTCGAAGTGGAGTTAGACCCTTCTGAAGTGTCAATTTATCATCTTGGTTGAAAACGTCTCCCTGTGGTTTTTCATCGTCAGCGAAAAGTGATGAAGCAGACGATATTTGCTGAAGGAGGTGGTTTATATAGATTAAGACTGTAAGTAGTATTGGTACTGAACCCTTATTAACCCCACTAGGACATTATGTGGCTTGGAAAAAAGCGAAGCGCATCCTGACAGTAAAAAGTCGATTATTTAGGTATGATGTAAGCCAGATTATCAACGGTGACCTGATACCTAACATTTTGAGCTTACTGGAGAGACATACATCCATTTGTTTTGAGAGTATTAAGAGAAGTGCTTTCGGCAATTATCATGAAGACTTATTGCTTTTGATTTTTTTGAAAATTGGTTTCACGTGCTCCAGCTTTTAATTTTATGGTCAACTGCCACGGCTTAACGAGTGTGAGACCATCACACTTGTTCGCGTTGCCAAACATGTAGCCGCTGCTCTCTGAAGGAACCATATCTAGATTTGGAGAAGTGTTCTTGTTTAGATACTGGTTTTGATATATCAGTCCAATGTATAGGTTTACTACTAAGACTCCTGTTAGTTTATATTTGAATACCTAATCGATGTAAGTTATACGTGAAAGTTGAAATGTTCAAAAATACTGATTTCCCAGAAACTGTGAAGAATCACCATCGTTGTCCATTAGGCCACTATGACCTAACAACTGAGAAACTCCGGATTTGGTTCATCGAAGAGAAGTTGCATGACGGAGTGATCTCTCTCGGTCAGAGACAAATATATCGATCAGCTTTACCTAATTTTGAAACCTGTCTTCACTTACAGCCTTGTTGCACTGGCTTCTTGCTTATTTGAACTGTCTATATGTACTGTCATCACTGGTCCGTTCGTATTGCGCCCAGTAGTGACTTTTGCATAGTAGCATTTAAAGCATGCGATTTTTTATGACTGTAAGTTGCTTTCAATATTTGGTGGAAGCTTGCAGGACAGACTATTTTGTATCACATAAGATCGTATGTAGTCAGAAATCACAATGAGCATCCACGTTACGTTGAAGGTGTGCTTTCACGTTCACCTACTGTATATTGACTTGTAAAACTGATTCATTCAAGCGTTTGAAATTCCAGTACTTGTTGTTAGCAGGATGTTTTAAGTCAGTTTTGATGGTAAAAATGAAGGCTATGATGGCATGATCGCTTTTGTTCAGGAGAATCAGGGTTGAGAGATTGCCAACTAGAAATTCTTCGTTCATAATAACTCAGTCTAATCCTGTTGGTGTCTGACCGTTTCTCTATCAATTCGTTAACCTCACATCTAAGGATAATTTCAGATCTTCACTGAGGTTGAAGGACTGAGCTTCATCAGCGTTGTCATCTCCAATCTACTTGTGTTCAGCAGAGATGTCTTTAGGGATACTGAAGTCTTAAAATTAGTATGTGAGTGTATCGGAGATTAATAGAGTAGGACGATTCCTCCAGCATACGACTATCGTACTCATTGTCGCCCGAGAGCCTCCTGTAGATGACTCTAATGAGACATCCAGAGATATTAAATGATCTCCCTGAGAACCATAAAGATTCATCAAGACTGGAATATGTATGAATGTACACATGATGTACTACCAAACAGGATCGTAGGCAAAGAGCTTGCTTGTCTATCACTCCAGTGTTTCTGTCGTTGGGAAATAGGAACACATAGGGTGTCAATAGCTCCTGATCAGCCTGTTTTAAAGATGCTTTTGTCCCAGATATTTCCATCAGATGAGTACAATTGGTATTGTTTAGTCCACCCAACTCATACATTTAACTTGGTAGACTCGCAGCGTTCATGTATAACCAGTTGGTGCTGGTATTCTATAACCAATAACGTACATTTGTTTGCAGAGTTTCTCCACAGAATATCAGCTAGCTTGAGTCAAAAACTACTCAGAAATGTTTCAATTGTTTGCCTAGGACCTCGTCTGCTTATGACCACATTCCAAGACAACTGCTAATTACCAAGTCTATCATTGTCAACACTGACATCGGGAAAACCAACTGACTGATTTCCTACTTCTCTGGAAGAGAACAGTACACTATGATTGGAGGAAAGTGTTCAATGTCTCTACTGTCTCATGAAGGTGTGCCACAAGGAGATACTCTTTCCTCCTCTCCTCTCTTTTTTCTGCATGATCTGCCATATTCCACAAGAAACACTTCTGTAAAATATGTGAAGGATCTGTCTGTATGTGTGCCGCATTTATATTCAACAACAGAAGAAACGATGCAAATGAAGAAATAACAAAGGATAAATCACAGGAAGAACGAATATTGAAGGATTTTCTCATATATTTTTGTAAATAAATGTAATAGGATTTTGCGCCTTCTACACTGACTTTTTCTTCGTTTTCATCGACAGCCGACGACTACACGAAAAGGTCTTTGGTATCGAACAGCCGGCTTAAAACCACATGCTCCGGAAGAAGTGTGAAGTCACTGGAACACACAAACGACCACTATGTGTTGGAAGCCTAGAATCCTTACTCTTTTTCTGTGACGCAGTTGGGTGCTTTCCTCAGTGTGTGTCCTTGTAGAATTACGGTTTACTATGATATCAGTACTGCTCTAATAATAGACGTAATCCTAAATTTGTAGATTTGTCATGATATAACTGCCTAATCTATAAGATCTTACGTGGAAGTTACACCATCGACTACACCAACTCACTGTATCGTATCAATTACCAATACATGATGTAGAACAAGGTTAGGCTAGAGAAAGAACAATATATTTAATATGAATAGAAGATATGAGGTAACATTCAGTAGAGACCACGCCTGCATGACCAAGCCATGCCACTCGACCAACTCCAGTCAATTCAAATCCTTGTTCGCGCCTTCTCCATCGTAAGGCATTTCTCCGCGTTAAATATTGAATATCTATTTTCTGAGTGGTCTCGTATTCAGCTATGTGGATTGTGAGGTTATGGTCCAATGCCACTACATCCTATCCAATTCCAGCGATTCTTCCTGATTTCTTCCTCCGATAAAATCTAGTTTCTTCTCTCCAAAAGTAGGTTGTTGATAATAGTGTCCGGCCAACGGGTCCGAAGTATTTTGCGTAGATAATTGTTAATAAACACCTGTATCTTCTGGATGATGGCTTTCGTAGTTCTCCAGGTTTCTGCCCCATACAGTAGAACTGTCTTGACATTTGTATTGAAAATCCTGACCTTGGTGTTGGTTGACAGTTGCTTTGAGCTTCAGATGTTCCTCAGTTGTAAATATGCTGCTCTTGCTTTGTCGATCCGCGCCTTCACATTTGCATGAGATCCACCCTGTTCATCAATGATGCTGCCCAAATACGTAAAGGTTTTTACATCTTCCAAATCTTCTCCGTCAAGTGTGATTGGATTGGTGTATGCTGTGTCGTATAGGAGAATCCTGCTTTTCTCTTTGTGTATATTGAGACCTACTGCTGGTGAGACTGCTGCTACACTGTGTCGTCTTCTCCTGAATTTGTTGTTGCGTTTGGGATAGAAGGGCCAGATCATCTGCGAAGTCTAGATCGTCCAACTGCATCTTAGATGTCCACTGTATCCTGTGTTTCCCCTCAGATGTTGACGTCTTCATGATCCAGTCGATCACCAGGAGAAGAGGCAGGGGTGAGAGTAAGCAACCTTTCCTGACACCGGTCTTTACTTCGAACGACTTTGTCAAATGTCCTCCATGCACAATTTTGCAGTGTAATCCATCATAGGAATTCTGTATGAT